CAGCAAATCAGATATATTTAAGGTAATAAAGGATTGGTAGTTGAATTTTCCTACAATGATATTAATAGAGCTGACGTTTCCATTGAATTCTATTGCTTTCTAAAAAGGTGTTTTGAGGTCAGGCATTTTCAATATCAAATTCTGCTCCGTGATCCAGGGGCACTCGTGGCAGTGTGGCGCAGTGACTAACGTGTTGAGAGTATACACTGCACCAGGGTTCGAGTCCCGCTGGGGGTGCTGAGACATAGGCGAGGTCGAAACCCTGGATAAGAACACCTTCTAGGAAAGCAAGGATATGTGGAATTCAATGGAAACGTCAGCCCTACTCATATAATTGTGGGAAGATTACACTACCAGTCATTTATCACTTTAAACAAAATAGGGTGAACACAACTCATATATGTGGGGTTGTTGTCAAGACGACAGACCTATATTCACCAGTATAGGCGGGAATATTGCTAAATTGGAAAGAAAGCCTGAAAGAAGACAGAAGGGAAGAAGCGTATAATATGGAAAAGAGTTTTACCACGTCTCCAGTGAAGAGATCCCATATGTGCCAATCACCCTTGGCACTGCCTGCATAAGCATAACGCTGGCCGGTGGTGTGAGCAGGAGAAAAACGGGCGCGAACTAGCGTGAAGCGCACTGTATGCCCTGTCAAAGTGAGCAGAGAACGGTCCGATCGGTCCAGGTGGCGCCGATGTAAATGGTGATGGTAATCTATGTCTGTCAAACCGAGGTTAGTATACGATAAACATAAAAGATAAATAGACGTCAAGGTCTAGGAAATGCTCGTGAAAATATATAGGCGACCGCTTAAAATATTACTTTCGAATGAAAGGATCTTACTAACTTAAATAAATGTCAACCAAGATATTTAGCTTGAATTTTAAAGACAATCCCGAATGGATGAAACAATATGTACAATTTAAAAATTACGCATAAAAATTTTGTTGCATAACGTGTTTCTATGAAACAAAGAGGAAGGGGTACAAACTTTTAGCATTTTAAGAAAATGAAGCTGGAATTTTTTTATGATAAATTTAAAGGCATCAAAAAAGGCGACAGATGACAACATATGGTATGTGGAATGCAAGTGCTTTGTTGAAAAC